GGGGGGGGGGGGTTGTTGCTTAGCAAATACTATATTAGTTGTGTCGTGTATAATTATAATGTGTAGTCTTTGTCATGTGCACAAGAGATTATTGCAGAGCACAACTCACAAGCGCATGCTGAAACTGAAATCAATGCAACCTTCATCCCCGACCCCATCTGGTATTATTAAAATCATGCCTTACGACCATGCTAGTGTGAAGTTCATTCAACATTTGCACATTAAATGGGCCTTCTGTATTCACAAGTTTTCTGCATTCTAGTCAAAAGAATTTCCCATGTGTAATTAAAGGAGAGAGAAAAAAAAAGTGTTACTCTTTACGTGGAAGTACCTTGATACCATTATTCTGGACCTTAGAGCAAGTCCAAGGGAGAATGACATTAGCGGTGACAATCTCATAACTATCAAAATGTCATTTCAAATTCAAAATTTTTCATTTCAACGGGACTGACATCAAGAGTTAGAAAATGACATTAATGCTCTTGGGGTGACAATTTTGGCAACTCTAGGAAGAGAAAGGGAGAGGTTACAAATGAGTTTAATTATGGTCTTTAAGAGCAACTTCAAGGGAGATACTCATTAAAATATATTAAAATATTTTGGCAATAATAAAAAATATTAAAATGACACCTCATTTTGACACTTGTTATTTGAGCAGATTTATAATTCAAGAATGTCAAAATACTGTTCAAGATTACAAATAAATGATTTAGCATCCCAACATGACAACTCCCTTTGAAGTTGTTTTAGTATACCATACCAAGGAAAATAAGAAAATAGGAAAATCAAAGGACCATGTTAGGCAAGTAACAATACAAGAAGTTGGGACTAACCCCTAGTGAAATAAATCTACAATACTTGGGCTTGGTTTCCTAGGCCCATATTGGGAAATTCTCGCATCCCATTGTTATCGAGGCTTCACACAAAAATCAGGTATAGGGCTGTAACGTTGGGAATGGCGTACAATAAACCACCTCTAACATATTGCAAGCAGGAAATGAAAGATTAGGAAAACATGAGGGGGTGGGGTTCCCTTTTTTTTTGTGGAGAGAGAGAGAGAGAGAGAGAGAGAGAGAGAGAGGAAATGAAAAAGCCCACCCCCAACTGAAGACCATGTGGTAGGAGCAAACGTAGAGCCGAAACCAAGTGTAATAAAGCAAGAGGAACATGGACGTGTGCTGGCCTAAATCACTAGATGGCCCTGAGTCTAGTATATCTATTGGCAGCTACATACTAAAGCTTAGGGCACTTCTGTAGGGCTTCGTGGTACTATCATCTATCCATTAAGGAAGTCAACTTTGTCAGGTTAACAGTTATGAGTTGAGACTAATTGATTTTGTATAAAAAATTAATAAATATACAAATGACTTATTTAAATAAACAAATGAAAATCTTCAAATCGAACATAATTTTTTTATTAAGCGAATTATACAATATGATTTGTTTAACCTTTTTAAAAAATGAATCGGGTTAGGTAGGATCATTTTAACACGATAACTTTTTTAACTCGCCACCCTTTTAACCCGTTTGTCATTAACAATGTTGTATAACTAATTATTAAACATACCTGCTAAGAAATTAACAAACTACTAATAAAAAAATTCATTATTAAATTTTTTTTAAACAAATGTAATTAATAACTACATATATTATTCTGGCTAAATTCTTTTTTTGAATAATTATTAATTTTATTTAAAAGATAAATAGATGATAAACGAGTTGACATATCTTACCCGAACACAACTCACTTATTAAATGAGTCTGACGGGTCTACTGAATTTATCACCAAAATTCAATTAATTTCGTGTTAATTCCTGTCGGTTAATCTTGTTGCGTTAGTTTTTGAGCTGCCGGAAAAACAATTTCTCGCAGCAAAAATGGTAATTTGTTTAAGGAATTACAATTGTCAAGGTTAATTGGGTTACTTGCATTTACTTTACATTTAACTTTATGTACTTCCAACCNAATGGTGAGCAATTTGATGAAGCACCCGGGTTTTTAGAACTCGGCTGCTCAGTGTTCGGGTGGAAGAATTCGAATGCTGATGGTGAGAAAGCCACGGGGTTCTCATAAGTAATCCCGTGGGGTGCTCGATCCTGGGATCGAGCAATGGACAGCATGGAAAGTAGAGCAAAGGCCAGGAGAGAAGCCATGGGTGTCATCTTCTTTGATATAGGGATACTAAGGTAAGAGGGCAATATTGCTTTTCATTGTGGTTATGTGCATGTTTTGGACTGGCTTTTATAGGCTCTTGAGTGAGTGGTGGTTGCTTGGACTTTAATTTTGTGATGGCAAAGACTGTTTGAAGGAGGGAACAGAATGATGAATACTTGTTCTATGCCATCACTTTATTGAGAAGATGGTCTCCCTGAATTGCCCTTACAAGGTCAACCAAGTGTAACCTTTTTTTTCCCCCTTGTAGTACATTTGTTACACTTTGGAAAAGATGCAATGTTAAAAGAGGTTCCTCAAAAAGGTTGCTCATTGGCATGGTACTGTATGGAGGCACAGTCTATTTTTGAGTGGCGTTTCAAATTATTCAAATAGGCGTGTTGGGTCTGGGATTATATGATATTCCATTCAATTAATTGTCTTAATTCTTTTAGTGTAGCAAGCTTATTACGTTCAAAACTCGAAAGATTGTGTCAGATAATTGATTGTCAGCGTAACATTTTTCCGGTCTACTATTAACAATTATTCACCCCGTGAATGAATCTATACATTAAATGAGCTCATGCTAAAGTAGCAATAAACCAGGTGGCATTTAAACATGTATACTACTTTATTAATGTTATTATGATTTCACCTGTTACTTTTACCATCATTTTGGGGGGTATTGGGTTTTTTTTTTTTTTTTTTT